CAAGTAAATTCGAAGGTTTTGCAATACCCAAACTATGGCTAGCATTTCCTTTTCATTAGTTGCATAGTTCTCCTCTGTTTTTGACAATGTTCGTGATATAAAAGTAATGGGTCTACTGGGGACTGCACCGATTGCGTAGTTTGAAGCATCGGTTGTTAGATGGAATTCTTTAGAGAAGGTTGGATAATTTAGGATTACGTCATTAGAACAAAGAGTTTGTTTTATTTTGTTAAATGCTTCTATTGCCTTGTTATCTAGCTTTATCTGTACTTTATCTGATGCTTTTGCTGATATACGACCATCTTCACCTCTGAGATGAGTGGTAAGGGGCTTAGCTAATTTTGCATAATCTTTTATGAATCTGCGGTAATAGCCGGAGAGGCCTAAGAACGATCGTAGTTCTTTAAGAGTTTTGGGTATGGGGAATCTAGAAATCGCTTCAACCTTTTCTGGATTTGTCTTAACGCCACTGTCTGAAATGGTGAATCCTAGGAAATTCACTTCCTTTTTGAAAAATTCACATTTGTCCATTTGGACTTTCATATTAGCGTTAAGTAAAGTCGTGAAGACTTGTTTTAGGTGATGAGCATGTTCGTTTTCAGATCTGCTGAAAACAATGATGTCATCAATGTAGACATAGCATATTTTTCCAACATGATCCCTTAGAATATCATCTAAGGCTCTTTGGAATATTGAAGGGGAATTCTTGAGACCAAAAGGTAGTCTTGTAAATTCGTACTTCCCTCCGTTGACAGAAAATGCTGTCTTTTCTATGTCTGTCTCCTTCAAAGGAATTTGGTGGAAACCACTTTTGAGGTCGAGGACCGTGAAGAATTTATTGTCCCCTAAGTGGGCTATGATGTCCCCTATTTCTTGCATAGGGTATCGGTCGGAGATTGTGACCAAATTTAGCTTGCGATAATCGATTACTAGTCGGTATTTCTTTTTCCATGAGGCATCGGATTTCTTTGGTACGATCCATACTGGATCGTTATACGGTGATCTAGACGGTCAAATGACTCCGTCGTCAAGCATTTCTGATATCTGCTTTTCGACTTCTTGCTTTAGAGCAATAGGATATGGGTAATGCCTGCTGTAAACTGGGGTGTCGGTATTGGTTCGAATCTCTCCTACTACTTTAGTCGTGTAAGTTAATTTTTGCTCTGGGTCTGCAAATAACGGTTTAGTTTCATAAATAAGTCGATCTATTATCTTTTTCTGGTTATCGGACATATGACTTGTTCGGACCTTTATATTGTTAACTGCTTGTGCGGGTAATTGCTTAATACGGAATTTATTACTGCCATTTACTATCAGGATATCATTCCTAACATCAATAACAACATTGAGTTGTTTCATTGTATCGTTGCCTAGAATGCCATGAAAAGTTTCTAGAGTGGGCAATACGAAAAATATGATTGGAGTTTTGAGGTTAAATAGATTCAAAAAGATATGATGGGTTATGGCTATTTTTCCACCTATAGAATTAGCGAAAAAAGCTTCTTTGTTTTCTTTTGCGTTGTTTACTAGGGAAGACTGTATGTAATTCTGGTTGGAACCAGTATCAATGAGGAAGTTTAATACCTGTCCGTCCCTCGTTATACTCATTCACGAAAGTGAATCAGTATATTGGTTTTGTGCAATGTCCGTCTTGCTGTCCGTCCGTCTGTCCGTCTGTCCGTCCGTCCGTCTGTCCGTCTGTCCGTATGAACGCAATCTATTTCGGCGCTATTGAAGCTAGAGACTTGAAATTTGGAACACATACTCGTGTATATCTCCGATTTATAAAGTGTTAAAATTTTCCCGATCCGCCCACTAGGGGCGTGGAAATCGGAAAATGCATTTTCCGATATACCAGAAATCATGTTTGTTGAAGAGCTAGAAAGCTGAAATTTGGTATGTAGGTCCGCGTTGACCACCCAAGATCACGAGCTATGGCGGATATATCTACGCCCATTGGGGGCGTGGCAAATCGGATAAAACTGTATCTCCTAAATTTGTAAACCTAGAATGCTAATGGTATGATTCTATAAAGTCTGAAGATAAATTATAAGTCTACGTCCATTGGGGGCGTGGCAAATCGGACCTGAAGATATAGTGATTTTTTTAATTCTCCTATATTTTGGACACTATTGATGGCAGAGACCTCAAATTTTGTATATATACTCGGACTGATCACCCAAGACCAAAAAGTTTTGTCGGATATATGTCCGCCTACAGGGGGCGTGGCAAACCGCAAAAGTTTATATCTCCTAAAGTATAATAGCTAGAAGCTTCAAATTTGGATAGTTGAGTTACTGGTAGCTTCCTCTATCGATTCCCCAAAAATAATTTTTACGCCTATTTAGGGGCGTGGCATATCGAAAAATACCCTGTAATTTTCACATTTTTTGAGGGTAGGCATTCAAACTTTGCAGTTAGGGTACCGTTATCTCTTTCTAAAAACTGACCAAAAATGAGGTGTCTACGCCCAGTTGGGGCGTGGCAAATCGGAAAAACCTGTATATTCTACAGTATTAGAGCGAAACTTAACTACTAAATTGTTGATGGGATGTGAATGAGTATTCCGCAGTCGGTAACGCCCGACTGCAACGTTCTTACTTGTTTTGTATTGGAACTAAGGTAACGACGAACGATTTAAGCTAAAAAATTGACATCAGACATATCAGCAATTTCTACCTGAGTCTGGTTGTCTGTAGTTGCTTCGTTCTCGTATGGTGCTTCGACGATACCTTGCTCCTCTGTAGCAGCATAGTAAGCCTGTTCACTCATACACTGCTCGTATGCCTCGGCATAAGCTTCGGCGGCGTATACATTTGCATATGCATCTGCGTAAGCGTTAGCCTCATCAGCTACTTGGGTTTCCCCAGTATTGATATGAAATTGTCTCTGATGCTTGAATGGGTTTTCTGCCCTAGAAGATAAGGGTATTTTCCCAGCAAATTGACTATTATTTGGCCTATTCATATAATTCACGTTCCTAGTTCTGATAGAAGAGTCGACTTCCATTGGTTGTGGAGCCGGTTGTGGCTTTGGGGCTATTGGTCTTGGCGGTGCGTTAAAGAATTGTTGTTGTTGTTGTTGGTATATGGGTCTTGGTGGAAAAACTGAATTCTGGGGGTTAAACTTAGGCTTTGGTGGATAGTACAGGTTCGGATTGAAGTTGGTTTGATTTAAGACGTGTGGATTGTTGTATCGAAACGGGGATTGAGTAGTTTGATAATTGTTCTTCGGAGGAAGCGAAGGGGCTCTAATGGGACTAACAGAATTTCTAATCGACTGGTTCTCAATCAGTCGGCACAAGTGAAGGGCATGTTTAAGGTCGGTTGGCTCTTTGATGGCTAATAATCTTGATAAGTCTCCGTTGAGACCTCTGATAAATGTATCTAAAGCTTTGTCTCTATATATCTCGGTAATGGCCCTTACTGTTTCTGCAGATGAATCATGGTTGTTTATCTGATTCAAGATTAAAGACAGATGATAATGAACGGCTTGATAAAATTCGTCTATTGATCGTCCATTTTGCTTAAGAGTATAGAGTTGGTACTCTAATGTCTTAAGATCTCTACGGTCTGCAAAATGATCAGTGAGACATTGAGATATGGCCTTCCAATTTAGTGGTGTGTTATATGCTTCTAATACAGCATCGGCTTCGCCAACTACTTTGCTTCTTACTACCATTAAGATACCATAGTGCTTTGGTGTTCCCTGTACGGTAGAGTATGCCTCGAATATCCTGTCTACGCTTTTGCGCCATGAAGTGAATTCTGCTCTATTCCCGGAAAAGTCTTTTAAAACCCTTACAACGTCTGGCAACTTGTCTAACTCGTTGATTCGTCCCATATGTTCTGATAGAATCGTCTGATCTTGCTCAACTGAAACGGTTGTACCTGTTTTAAGTAACTCATCGCCTTTCTCGGACAATATCTTCCTAAGGTATCTCTCTATCGTATTCTCAATTGGTTCAGTCAGAAAGGTTTGCCTTGTGGCAACTGTGCTGGTGGACGGGAGTGTATTTTCTGGTGGTGGCATGTTTATCATAGAGAATGCGGTCGTTAGTTCGTCAATGGTCACGGACAGATTTAAAGAATTTTTATCGAAGCGGAAAATGATGGTGGTTTGTTTTCAGAAAATGTTCTCAGGATTTTGATTTTGTGTTAGTAAATGGTAAATTCCTAAGCGATCAACGCAGTGATCTTCCTGGCTATTATTGTATAGCTTTACGGGCTATACGCTATACCGGGCAACGCAATTATCGCTCAGTAGTACAATTTCAGAGTTTTTCTTAATTATTAAGTGTTAATGTTTAATATTTCTTGTTATTTCTTCTTAATTACTAGGTGTTAATATTTGTTGTTTAATTCTTGTTTTTCTTTTCTTAATTACTAATATTTCTTGTTTTGTTTTAATTCTTTTCTTTTCTAGTTTCTTTACTTTTGTTTTCAAATCTTATTTACTATGCTTACAAGATCATTTTCAGAATTGTTGACTCCCGCGATGGTGGTCCGGATTTCTCTCTTTCCTCAGATTCCAGTGCTAGTGGTTTATCCGTTACTGAAGATCCTGCGACGCACTCCGATTACGCGGTACCCTACGGACGGACACTTATAAGGTGGCAACAATGTTTTCTTTTTTTTTTTTGACCGACGAACGTACCACGTTTACGTAGTTAGAGTCACTCGTTCACGATGTGGCTGCGGATTAGGCACCAATATTAACGTTCGAATGCTCCGGTTTCAGTAGCTGCGGATTAGGCACTAAAGATTTTCGTCCCGTTCACTAGCAGCTATATTTCGTTATAGGTGCTCTCGCGAACAATAGTTGGTACTATGTTTTTCGACGCGTAAACTTTTCTGTGGTAACGATCGCTGGTCCCTGCTCGGGCGCCAATTAAATATTCGAAAGCGGTTTTTGGATTAAAAAAACATTTATTCACTTTCGGAGTTGGATTAGAACTAACTTAAGAATAATTATACAAGTAATATTTATATGAAAGCTGCCGCTGCTGCTATTGGCGTTGCTGCCGCCGTGGTCACTGCTGTTGCTGCTGATAGGTGTCTTGTGACACGATGGCTCTCACGGTGGTTGCTAATCGGTGCGCTGACTCGGCGCTCGTGGCGGAAATGCGCACGTTGACCAGAATGTGTTTTGGCCAAGTGCATTGATCTTATTAATATTGCTGACGATAGGCTCCCACGGTTGCGGTTGCGTTGCTGTTGTATTCTGCTGACAAAGCGCACGTGTCAAAAGTGCATGCACTGGAGCCGTGATATAATTGGGCCGGTGCAATGCCCTTTTGTAGGGTCTGTCGCTAACTCTTCCCCCCTTAGATGCGGACGTCCTCGGTCGCAATATAGAAAACTTGAGCATTTTCTCTCTTTTCTGCTTCGGGTGTTGTGACTTGGCCTGTGGTGGCTGGGGTCTTTCGTTTTAGCAAATATCCAACTACGGCCATAATTATCAGTAGAGTTCCAGAGAGAGTTATATTGATTGTTGCTCTTATATCGTTGCTGCTCTTTAGGGTTTCTAATTTTCTTGTGTTGTTTAGATTTATTTCATTGAGCATTTGCAGTGAAAGGACTTCGTCGATCTTGTTTGTTTTCGCCATGATTTGGAATAACGGTGGGGTGGCTTCTGCGAAGGACATCACTTTTGATTCGTATATGTCATCTTCGATGCGTATCGTGGAGTTCTCGAATTGTACCAGGAAGGTACCATGGAGTTCTACTTCCTCTTCGTCGATCTTGATTGATCCATTGAAATCGTTGAGCAATATTGTTCCGACAAACAGCTGTTCGTGATTGGGTACGTGTTGATTGTTGATAGCACGGCAGTTTGGAGGTTGGCTTTTTAATAGTGGCAAAGTACAAGTATCACTTCTTAAGTCGACTAACTTATTTTTATTACAAATTGTTTTTTCATTATGCGACTCACATGAGTCTCTTATAGCATAGATTGAATTTTCGCATTTTACAATATTTTCGAATTTTATTTCATTGATATAATTTTTTCTTTTAATTGGCTTAATTAACATGGTTGTACAAACTTCATTTGAGATTAAAGGTATGTTGATTATATAGAGTATATTTTTTCCATTACTTGCGATTTTTATTTGGCTAACTTCTAACAATTCTTCTGCATTTAAGAACATGATTTTTTCTCTTTCTAGTATCTGCTCTATTATTTTGACTTCGGATTCTGACAATATTATTGAGTTTATTGTATTTGTTTTTGCCCAGTCTATGGCATGAATTAAATTAGTTAAATCGTCTTTAAAGATTTGGAGTTTGTATTTAAAAAACGTGATTTTTTCCTCTTGAATATTAGAATGATCTTTTACAATTTTCATTATGTTATTTGAGGTTTGTGTTATTTCATTGATTCTATCTTGCAATACTCTATTGATAACTACTTGTTTATTATTATTTTCTAATTGCTCATTAATTTTTGTAATTAAAACCTCATGGTCACTGTGGTCCGGTGTACCGGCCAGCCATTTCCATGCTGTTCCCAATGCATTAATTGCTCTTGCCACTCTTATGGAGTGTTTGAGTCTACGCAAGTCATTTCTGACGCTATTTAGTTCATAATTTAGCTGTGGGTACATCTGGTGTGAGTTGCTTATATTATTAAGAGTTTCTTCGAAAGTTCCGAAGATTTTTTCATGTTCTGAAATATCAAATACGTGAATAATTTTGAAAGTTCCGTTCTGCATTGCCGAAGTTCCTGTCTTTATCGGAATTAACTGAGAGTGTGAGTAGTCGAGGATTGTGGTTATACCCAGACATAGCGGTGCGAATATCCTGCAAGTTACGTTCAAATGTTATTTTTGTGGATAATTTTCCCTGAAGCTGTTCTAATGGTTGAATTCCTGTTTTCTGCTACAGTTTCTTTCTTGTATTTGGGTGTGAGTTTTGAACCTAGGCGCTTGTTTATTTTTACATAGACTATCTCCCCTGGTTCGTAAGTTTTAATTTCCTGTCTCTCTCTACTGTGGTAATTTAAATCATATTTTTGTTTATCTAGTAGCTTGTTGGATATTATCTTCCTATTCTCTTCTGTTTTTTCTGGGCTATCCTGAACTGTTGTGCCGAAAAGTATCTCTATTGGTTTTTTTTTTAGTAACTGAATGGTAGGAGGCGTTATATTCTTGTACTGCTTTAAAGAGTGTATCTGTGAAACTCATATCTTTATTGTCTTTTCTTAGGCAAGTCATTATTTCTGAAAGAGTGGAGTGGAATCTCTCTATTTGTCCGTTACTTGCTGAGTTATATGGAGGGGTTGTATAAACTTCGATACCTAGCTGGTCTTGCAGCAAAAACTTTATGGAGGCTGAATTTAAAGCTCGTTCGTTATCGATTACTACAGTTTTGGGCATACCGAATGCAATTAGTATTTCTCTTAACGGGATTTTTATATCTTCTGCTGCTCTTGAGTTTAGAATCTTGACTTGAACGTATTTTGAGAATTTATCAATGCTAGTTAAAATAGTTTTATTTTCTGTTATATAAATATCTATATGAATGATTTCACCTGGAAATTTGGGAATTGGTGTTGCTTGAATTGCGGGATGTGGAGGGTGTCTATCATATTTTGACTCTCTGCATGTTAAGCATGCTTTTGTAATTTCCTTAACTTTTTGTGTAGTTGTGGGAAGAAAAATTTTTCTAGAATTTGGGCTTTATTTTCTGATGCATTTCTGTGTGCTCGTCTATGTTCTTGCGTTATAATTTTATTCTGTTCATCGACGCTTGTAATGTCTTCTACCTTTCTTTGGGTATATCGTATTTTATAATTTGAAAAGTGAAGTTGATAGAATTCCTGTATTTTGCCCATAATATGTTCTGGAGTAAATAAGCCGTTAATAAGTCTTGGGTCAAGTCGTTTCTTGAAAATATCGATTAATTCGTCTTCGGTAAAGTATGTAGGAAAGGGAATTTCGAATTTATAATCATGCTTTTCGCCGATTATTATGAATAACTGATTCTTGAAAACGTTAATAGGTGTTTCTATTGTAGGGATGAGATTATGTGACGAACTTTCATCACTCATAACTGTGGTTTCTGTACTATTGATTTCGTTTATTGGGTTTTTTGATAAAGCGTCTGCTACTATGTTAGTGGTTCCTGGCTTGTACTTTAACTCGTAATTGAACTCTTCTAAGTAACTCTTCCAACGTTTCAATTTTCCGTTGTGATTTTTATTACTCAGAGCAAAGGTTATTGGTTGGTGGTCTGTGAATATAATAACTTTGGCAGTTCCATACAAGTAAATTCGAAGGTTTTGCAATGCCCAAACTATGGCTAGCATTTCCTTTTCATTAGTTGCATAGTTCTCCTCTGTTTTTGACAATGTTCGTGATATAAAAGTAATGGGTCTACTGGGGACTGCACCGATTGCGTAGTTTGAAGCATCGGTTGTTAGATGGAATTCTTTAGAGAAGGTTGGATAATTTAGGATTACGTCATTAGAACAAAGAGTTTGTTTTATTTTGTTAAATGCTTCTATTGCCTTGTTATCTAGCTTTATCTGTACTTTATCTGATGCTTTTGCTGATATACGACCATCTTCACCTCTGAGATGAGTGGTAAGGGGCTTAGCTAATTTTGCATAATCTTTTATGAATCTGCGGTAATAGCCGGAGAGGCCTAAGAACGATCGTAGTTCTTTAAGAGTTTTGGGTATGGGGAATCTAGAAATCGCTTCAACCTTTTCTGGATTTGTCTTAACGCCACTGTCTGAAATGGTGAATCCTAGGAAATTCACTTCCTTTTTGAAAAATTCACATTTGTCCATTTGGACTTTCATATTAGCGTTAAGTAAAGTCGTGAAGACTTGTTTTAGGTGATGAGCATGTTCGTTTTCAGATCTGCTGAAAACAATGATGTCATCAATGTAGACATAGCATATTTTTCCAACATGATCCCTTAGAATATCATCAAAGGCTCTTTGGAATATTGAAGGGGAATTCTTGAGACCAAAAGGTAGTCTTGTAAATTCGTACTTCCCTCCGTTGACAGAAAATGCTGTCTTTTCTATGTCTGTCTCCTTCAAAGGAATTTGGTGGAAACCACTTTTGAGGTCGAGGACCGTGAAGAATTTATTGTCCCCTAAGTGGGCTATGATGTCCCCTATTTCTTGCATAGGGTATCGGTCGGAGATTGTGACCAAATTTAGCTTGCGATAATCGATTACTAGTCGGTATTTCTTTTTCCATGAGGCATCGGATTTCTTTGGTACGATCCATACTGGATCGTTATACGGTGATCTAGACGGTCAAATGACTCCGTCGTCAAGCATTTCTGATATCTGCTTTTCGACTTCTTGCTTTAGAGCAATAGGATATGGGTAATGCCTGCTGTAAACTGGGGTGTCGGTATTGGTTCGAATCTCTCCTACTACTTTAGTCGTGTAAGTTAATTTTTGCTCTGGGTCTGCAAATAACGGTTTAGTTTCATAAATAAGTCGATCTATTATCTTTTTCTGGTTATCGGACATATGACTTGTTCGGACCTTTATATTGTTAACTGCTTGTGCGGGTAATTGCTTAATACGGAATTTATTACTGCCATTTACTATCAGGATATCATTCCTAACATCAATAACAACATTGAGTTGTTTCATTGTATCGTTGCCTAGAATGCCATGAAAAGTTTCTAGAGTGGGCAATACGAAAAATATGATTGGAGTTTTGAGGTTAAATAGATTCAAAAGATATGATGGGTTATGGCTATTTTTCCACCTATAGAATTAGCGAAAAAAGCTTCTTTGTTTTCTTTTGCGTTGTTTACTAGGGAAGACTGTATGTAATTCTGGTTGGAACCAGTATCAATGAGGAAGTTTAATACCTGTCCGTCCCTCGTTATACTCATTCACGAAAGTGAATCAGTATATTGGTTTTGTGCAATGTCCGTCTTGCTGTCCGTCCGTCTGTCCGTCTGTCCGTCCGTCCGTCTGTCCGTATGAACGCAATCTATTTCGGCGCTATTGAAGCTAGAGACTTGAAATTTGGAACACATACTCGTGTATATCTCCGATTTATAAAGTGTTAAAATTTTCCCGATCCGCCCACTAGGGGCGTGGAAATCGGAAAATGCATTTTCCGATATACCAGAAATCATGTTTGTTGAAGAGCTAGAAAGCTGAAATTTGGTATGTAGGTCCGCGTTGACCACCCAAGATCACGAGCTATGGCGGATATATCTACGCCCATTGGGGGCGTGGCAAATCGGATAAAACTGTATCTCCTAAATTTGTAAACCTAGAATGCTAATGGTATGATTCTATAAAGTCTGAAGATAAATTATAAGTCTACGTCCATTGGGGGCGTGGCAAATCGGACCTGAAGATATAGTGATTTTTTAAATTCTCCTATATTTTGGACACTATTGATGGCAGAGACCTCAAATTTTGTATATATACTCGGACTGATCACCCAAGACCAAAAAGTTTTGTCGGATATATGTCCGCCTACAGGGGGCGTGGCAAACCGCAAAAGTTTATATCTCCTAAAGTATAATAGCTAGAAGCTTCAAATTTGGATAGTTGAGTTACTGGTAGCTTCCTCTATCGATTCCCCAAAAATTTCTATTCAATTTCAATTTCTACCTGAGTCTGGTTGTCTGTAGTTGCTTCGTTCTCGTATGGTGCTTCGACGATACCTTGCTCCTCTGTAGCAGCATAGTAAGCCTGTTCACTCATACACTGCTCGTATGCCTCGGCATAAGCTTCGGCGGCGTATGCATTTGCATATGCATCTGCATAAGCGTTAGCCTCATCATCTACTTGGGTTTCCCCAGTATTGATATGAAATTGTCTCTGATGCTTGAATGGGTTTTCTGCCATAGAAGATAAGGGTCTTTTCCCAGCAAATTGACTATTATTTGGCCTATTCATATAATTCACGTTCCTAGTTCTGATAGAAGAGTCGACTTCCATTGGTTGTGGAGCCGGTTGTGGCTTTGGGGCTATTGGTCTTGGCGGTGCGTTAAAGAATTGTTGTTGTTGTTGTTGGTATATGGGTCTTGGTGGAAAAACTGAATTCTGGGGGTTAAACTTAGGCTTTGGTGGATAGTACAGGTTCGGATTGAAGTTGGTTTGATTTAAGACGTGTGGATTGTTGTATCGAAACGGGGATTGAGTAGTTTGATAATTGTTCTTCGGAGGAAGCGAAGGGGCTCTAATGGGACTAACAGAATTTCTAATCGACTGGTTCTCAATCAGTCGGCACAAGTGAAGGGCATGTTTAAGGTCGGTTGGCTCTTTGATGGCTAATAATCTTGATAAGTCTCCGTTGAGACCTCTGATAAATGTATCTAAAGCTTTGTCTCTATATATCTCGGTAATGGCCCTTACTGTTTCTGCAGATGAATCATGGTTGTTTATCTGATTCAAGATTAAAGACAGATGATAATGAACGGCTTGATAAAATTCGTCTATTGATCGTCCATTTTGCTTAAGAGTATAGAGTTGGTACTCTAATGTCTTAAGATCTCTACGGTCTGCAAAATGATCAGTGAGACATTGAGATATGGCCTTCCAATTTAGTGGTGTGTTATATGCTTCTAATAAAGCATCGGCTTCGCCAACTACTTTGCTTCTTACTACCATTAAGATACCATAGTGCTTTGGTGTTCCCTGTACGGTAGAGTATGCCTCGAATATCCTGTCTACGCTTTTGCGCCATGAAGTGAATTCTGCTCTATTCCCGGAAAA